AAAATTTTATGAATTTTGATATTAAACACTCTATATCTAACGTTAACCGTTTTTGAGAAAAAAATATTTATAATTCTTGGAGGAAAAAAACTGCCTGTCAAAAATATGTATATAGTCTAAACGTCAAATTTAAAGTATATATATCAATATTAAAAGTATAAAGAGAAGACATGTTGCTATCTATGTCAAAAATTAAATTGTCCGAATGTCATATACCTAATAATGGCCGCAGCTGTCATGGAATTGAGCGATTATAAAATTATCATAAATATTTTTTTTTCAAATGGAAATCCACTTTTTTTATTTCACTCGTAACTTTCGTTTTTGAAATTTGTTACTTTTTGACTATACATGTTCCTGTACCCTGTACCTAAAATAAATTTTTTAAGTTATTTGAAAGTCCGTCTCATATCTTAACCACCGTCTAAGATCTTTAGACGGTGGTTAAGATATGATTTGGGTGCACTCAAACAACAATAATCGCTAGAAAACAAATGCCCACATTTATTGCAAGATATGAAGCAACTCCTTCAAATAACATGCTTCAAAGTTATATTCTATATAGGTACAATTCTTTCTAGAAGTATAATTCTAACCTAGACAGAGACGTTGATTTTTCCAAACCGCGTTCTATTATCTACCTAATATTAAAAAGAAGATCGTATATACGTATTTAAAAACCTTTAAAAACATATACCAAGTTATGGTAGCTGGTACTACAAATGCATTTATACCACGTTACAATAATTGTACCCACTCTCCCCTACTTACATAGGTTAACTATTTTTGAAGCTTCCTGCTAAGATTCATAATAATTCCACAATAATTAAAGTCATGACATAATATGTTTCCAGATTTAAGTATACAGGGTGTTCCTTAATGGCATATTTAAGGAGGTAATTCTTGGACCTATTCTAAGAAAAAAACTTCATATGAATATAAAATATGTCCTAAACATCTTAACTTTTCAGATACAGGGTGGTAAAATTTTCTAATTTTTTTGTTAAAATATATCTGATGTTATAATTAAATTGTATCAGTGTTGTATCACTTTTTCCCCAAAAATATTCAAAGTAAAATCTGTATGGATGGCACTGGTTGAAATAAATAAAATTCTTTGTATATATTTATGTTACGGTTAAAGTCCGATGTCCGGTTAATGTCGACATTAACAGGTTAATGTTTGGGTTTGGTTTTGTTTTTGGTTGTTTTGTTTTATATTATTCTCGAGATTAACCAGGTAATGTCGATATTAACCGGATATCGGACCTTAACCGTAATATATACGGCAAAAAATGTATTTTGATACATCAAAGACGTGTATCAAGTTTCATAAAGATTTCCATAATTAAATCAAATTTATTATGAAAAAGAGTTTTTTTTAGAAAACTTTACCACCCTGTATCTCAGAAATTAATATGTTTAGGACAGTGATTCCCAAAGTGGTCCAGGTGGACCCCCAGGGGTCCACGGGAGACTTGCTGGGGGTCTACGTAGGCGTGAACAAAAAATGGGGGTCCATAAGATGTTAATGGGGGTCCACGAAAATTTATCTGCTTTTGATAGTAAAGAGCAAAAATGTAAGCATAGTTTTTATAAGGGCCTACCTACATTGTTTTAAGTACCTATCTAAGCAGATAATATTTTAATAAGGCAAGCGACTGTTACTTGTCCAAACTTGCGTATTCGATATTACGTACAATTTCGTGTACAGACTTGCAAAGCGCTATCCGCCCGACAATGCTTAATGCTTGTTCAGACATGAACTTGATCACCACTATAAATACTTGATGCCAAAGGCAAACGCATTCATTTGTTTCCGGAATTTCGAAAAAGGCGGAATTTGGAAAAAAAGTTGTGAGAAAAATTTATATCTGTGTTTGCTAGTGCCGGAGAAAAGTAAGTAACCTACCTTTTTTTGTTATAGTACTTAAGTATTTTGTTTACGTGTACTAGTCGGTTGATCACAACGGCCTGTATAGATAGGTAACTTAGTAACTTACAGATATTTTAATTGTCCTCTTTCGATTTGAAGACAAACACAGCACGTTTTATTCAATTGTTTTTTCACGAGAGAAACACTACCTCTCTAAAAAGGCCGAATAAGCAATATTGCAGAGCAATTAATTTTGTAATTTTTCTTGCAAATAACTACTAATTTTATAAAACAGTAATTTCATAATCATTTTAAATTGGTTTTGAAGTAACTATTTTATCAAAACTATTCCTTTTCGGAAAGAGCGAGCGGTGCGCGGGCGACGGGAAAAGGGCGGGGCTTGGACTTCGATGCCAGTTTGTCACGTTTTAACAATGAAGCCGCAGACAAAAATACGCAAATACACGGAGCGCGTGAACTCATTGATTTAATAAAATGTTAGTTATCGTTTTTATGGACAATTTTGGGATTTCGACTTTTATTTTTTCCTACACAAATATGATCAGTATTCGATACTGAGTACACCAATTTTTATTTATACTATTAAAAATTAGTGGTAAATTATGTACTTTAAAATTGATACCGTTTTGTGAAAACGTCTGTATTGGTCTCAGCGGTTTATTAGTTGGTCCCTTTACAAGCCGTAATTCTATTTCCGCGTGCTGACAAAGGCTGCGGTGTGATACCTATATTCAGAAAAAAACTTGGTTACTAAAACATTTTTTTTACAGGTAAGGTAACTGACACGAAACATGGCTACAGCAAAGAAAAAATGTCGACAATATAGTATCGATTATTTGAAATATGGTTTTGTTCCATCAGAGGCAGACAAACAATTGCCCATGTGCCTATTATGCAACAAAGTTTTGAGCAATGACTCTATGAAACCATCAAAGCTCGAAGATCATCTAAAAAGGTGTCATACTGATAAAATAGGTAAAGATTTAAAATATTTTCAAACATTGAAAGAAAAATATGGAAAGAGACCCACCATGCACAGTATGTTCGCTTCAACATCTCAAAGTAACGATGATGGCTTGCGGGCATCTTACAATATCTCATTACTTATAGCAAAATCTGGAAAACCGCACACTATCGGAGAACAATTAATTTTACCCGCTGTTGAAGAGGTTTTAAAAACTGTTTTGCACAAATCTCCATTTGACGTACTAAAAAGAATTCCATTAAGTAACAATACTGTACAAAGACGCATTGATGAAATGAGCTCTGATATCGAAAGCTTTTTGTGCAATCATCTGCAAAAAACTCATTTTTCTATACAACTGGACGAGTCAACGTTACCCAGTAATGAAGCATTACTATTGGCATATGTCCGATTTATTGTTGAGGAAGAAATTCACGAAGAATTGCTATTTGCCAGAACTTTGGAGACTGACACTAAAGGCGAATCAATATTTAATGTCCTGAGTAATTTTTTTACGGAAAAATCGATCCCATTTACAAACATTATTTCAGTGGCAACAGACGGAGCTCCTGCAATGGTCGGGCGATATCGTGGGTTTATAAGTCATCTCAAAAGAATTATACCAGGACTTACAGCTATTCATTGCGTAATCCACCGACAACATCTTGTGGCAAAACATTTAAGTGACAGGTTGAACCAATCTCTTCATTTTGTAATAAAAGCTGTCAACAAAATCAGAAGCAATGCATTGAATACGCGTTTATTTGCTCAATTGTGCGACGAAAATGATGAAGACTTCCAACGACTGCTCTTACATACTGAAGTACGCTGGTTGTCGAAAGGTGCATGCTTAACGAGATTTTACTCTGTTTTCGATTCCATATTAGAGTTCTTAGAAAGTAGAGATCCAGATTTAAAAGAAAACTTGATCAAATTCAAAGCAGACATTGCGTATTTGACAGATTTGTTTAAAAAATTTAATGATATTAACTTGCAGTTACAAGGGGACAGCCTGAATTTAATAAAAACAAAGGGGATAATTTCGGCTTTTCTTGGGAAATTGAAATTTATGAAGCAAAACATTAGTCGGCGCGAATTCTCTCAATTTCCAAACTTGTCGCAGGTAGAATGTATTGATGAGGATATCCATACCTACAGTCAACATTTAAGTGCTCTGCATGATGACTTCAAAACCAGGTTTGAAGATATACTGACGATGGATATACCACCATGGATCATAAATCCATTTGATGAAACGGAAGTGGCCAATGTTGTATTACAAGAGGAGCTGCTCGAGCTAAGCACTAATGAGGAGCTGAAGGTGAAATTTAGAAAAGGCTACCCAACATTTTGGCTGCAAGCAGAAATACCCGAAAAATATCCTGGACTGTGGGAAATCGCAAGGAAATTTTTAATAGCTTTTCCCTCGTCATACCTTGTCGAAAGGAGTTTTAGTGCGTTACAAACCTCTTAACAAAAAAAAAGGAGCAAATTAAACATCACAGAGCGGGGGGATTTGCGGTTATTGCTCACAAAAATAAAGCCAAACATTGATCGTTTGCTGACACTCCATCAGATACATCCTTCCCATTAATTAAAATTATGACCTGAACCTATATTACCTTAATATTTTTCTTGTAATTCTATTCTTTTAATAAATAAAGTGATATAAAATGTACCATTTTTCGTTTTTATTTTACATATCGGAATATAGGGACAGAACTCAGAAGTGACACAATTTTTATTTTTTGGCGACTTTAAGAATGTGGTAGAAATGTAGCAGCAGGGGGTCCACCGAAACCAGTAAAATTTTGAAAGTGGTCCACGAGAAAAATAAGTTTGGGAACTACTGGTTTAGGACATACATGCACATGAAGTATTTCTCTTAGAATAGGTTTAAGAATCACCTACTTAAATATTAGCATGTCATTAAGAAACACCCTGTATGCAGATTTTGCCATAAAACAAAATTATAAATTTATTTTATTTCTAAATTAAACAATTAATAATGTAAAAATGTCTTTTACTGATGTCTAATACATATTATTTTAATATAGCTAACGTCAAATGAGTACCTATACCTGTATAATTACCTTTTTCTATGATTCATTTTATCAACTTCTATCTTTTCCTTTCCAGGCACGGGGAGGTATACGGACACCCCCTACACGGACGCCTATGGCAGCCCGTACGCGGATTCCTCACCCTATCAGACGGTGCCCAGCGGCGGCTCGAGCGGGTCCGAGCAGTGGGGCCACCCGACGGCCGGCCACGACATGGCTATGGGGGGCGGGGGCGGTGGAGGCGGCCCGCCCCCCTCGCACCATCCCGATATAAAACCGACCATGCTCCAGAACGGCATGATTGCAGGATATCATGGGGGAACGGGAGGACATGCCGCGTTTGGCAGTAAGTAGATATTTATACTTGCAGAAAAATAAAGCTTACTAAAGCCTAGTTCATGCATCCGAATTTTGAACGTTTTCTTCGAAAAAAAGACGTCATATTTTTTTAAAAACACAGTGAAGCCTCTTTAATGGGAACAACTAATTGTAACGACCTATTCCGATTTGCGAATCGTTCATCCATCGTTGACGCCACGCCACAGCGTACAGAACAAGTAACATTATTAGACAAAGACCGAAAAAAAACTCGTAGTTAAAGGGGCACAATTTAATGTCATTTTAAGAAGATTACAAGATTGCCAAGTTTATTCTGATGATATTGTATTGATATTAAAACACCAAATATTTTGTAAAACAAATTTGTATCAACTACTTAATTGTTGAATCTATTTCTTGAAATTAGTGGTAAATGTTCTTTATGTCATTTAAGAATAAAAATTAAATGACTAATATATTTTCTATACTGTGAAATGACTAATAATACACAACTTCACACTTTACTTTGTTGTGTTTACTAATAATGTATATGTTTTAATAATGTTTTATTAAAACAGAGCGACATACAGTTATTAATAGTAAAACAATTTATGAAGATATTGATGTCTACCGCATGAAATTTTAGTATAATATTTGAAATTCTATAAATGCGTTCTTAAAATAAATGGTATTCCAGTGAAATTGGGAAACGTCTGACAACGTCGGCAGCAAGTTTTGTTGATGCTCTTGCCGTATGTCAATCCATCCGTAACCCTATTTATTATTTAATAAACAAAACAAAACAAAGCCAACCTATTTATCTATGTTAATTTAAACGTTTGATTCACGGGTTAGATTTATTCGTGTGATTACAGAGTTTGATATTTTTTTCGCCAAAAAGTTGTGTTTTTTCGGGTATTTATAGTGGTATTTACATTTTGTGTGTGCGTATTTATAATACGATGGATGATACGAGAAGGGGGTACGGAAGTAATTTCTAAAACAAAAGCCGATGGAATGTAGTGCATCTAGAAAAACTGTACCTAAAATCAGAAAATTTAGGTCTACCGAAGGTTTAGGTAAAGGTATACCTATAGTTATAGTAGGTTAGGTAGTATACAGTATACAGTATACCTATACTTATAATAATAGGTTAGATTTAACCTAAAGTTTGAGTGCCCAAGGATAAGTCAAGGTAAATAAATACTAATTATGTTCAGGTTTTTAAATACTGTTAACATTTGCTCTATTTTTTTGCTTAATAATACGAACATCTATCAGTCTCTCTTGAATATCTTGTAAAATAATATGCACTAAACAAATACAATAATTTAAAGAGGTTCTTTACATACCCAACATAATACATATAAAAGTAAAATGTTTCTGGAGGAATAGAAAAGTCTATGGGTTGACGATTTTTTTAGGGTGGTGGTTTCGAATCTGGGAAAATTATATATTATAGACATTGGTTAAATTATAATACCTACCTTAACTTCTCGATTTTTTTTTCTCAAGATTAAAACCAAAATTGAAACTTATCTCCTGTGTTTCAAATCAAAAATAAAAAGAAACGGCAACAACGCTTTTCTAGATATTAGAGAGCAACCGGCAACGACGTTAACCCCGGTTTAAAGGGACGAGATCATTGAAATTCAGAACAAAAGATGAAACGAATTCCGTCGGCTAGGCTAACGCTCTCTTTATATTCTTTACTCTGTGACCACGCTACGCCGCTGCTAATCATAGCCTGACCGGCCTTGTGACCGGCTGAAGTCATTACGCTGTATAAACGGGAGTTTATTTTTGCGCACAGGAAATTTTACCTGTTTGCTCATTGTCATAAAAAACAATTTTCGTACCACGAATTAGGCACAAGATTTTTGTCTGTATACTTATAGGATACCTAATCTGTGCTTTTATTGAAATTCATTCTTTCTTCCCACTTAGGCCGTTACAGCGATTCCTACGGGGACATATATAGTTCGCCCTACGACACCTCGCCCTTCCAGACGGTGCCAGGAGGCGCGGGAGGTGCCCAACCCTCGCCCGGTGACCAGTGGCCGCCCAGCCACGATCTGGGCGCCCTGGTGCACCATCCGCACGCCCACCCTGGCTTCCTGAGCAGGGGAGAAGGGGGACTAGGGCCCCATCAGGACACCAAACCTATGATCCAGAATGGGATGATAGGGTATGCCGGAGGTGCTGGTTCGGGAGGGCCATGTTTTACAGGTGAAGTTACTTTACTATTTATACATTTGAAAAAGAAATTAAGGAGAAAGCACATAAAAAACTTGGTCGAGCGCGATGACCGACTTAAGAATCTATTTCGATGTACTTTCGGGTCGCCCTCAGGAGTCGGGTAAAGCGGGAGTGTGACCGAACGAAATCTATATTATATTTCAGAAATCTGCCTAAGGCTTAGCCCGATCCTGTCGTGTTAAGCCACACCCAAATTTCCAAACACACGTGCTTTGATTAAGGCTTGATTAAGGTTTGCAGAGCTTCAGCATTTGCCATAAAATAGCGAGCAATTTGTTACAAAACCATATAAATTATATATCACTGTAATCACAAAACTTCCATCTATTTCCCTAATGTAACGGAATTTGAAATTATGTCTTTATTTTCGAGAAAATTTAGTCCAAACATAAGGAATATTTTGTTGATGTTTGACCATCAAAATCTTAAAAATAAAGAAGTTGTCTAAAAATGTGCTACAATACGGATATAGTATAATCATTTATCTTTAATTTGCTTCTCTATGTAAAAATATCTACCCAGTTTTGCATAAAACGTTAAATGCCGAACGCTTATTTTGCTACTTTTTCGGACTAATGAAATGAACTCTTAAATTCCGATTTATCGGTGCCGTTCTAATTTTATTCAAAATTCGTAAAAATTTAATGTAAGGTGGACTCAATAATTTATTGTTTTATTTTACGTTGTCAATATCTGTAATTATTAAAATGGTTATAAAAATATAATTTCTAATAAAAATAGATAAGTTATAATAATTATTTAATAACACAAATATTTGATACGCTACTGAAGCACGTTAAGTCAAATTGGCATATCTTAATTAATTTTGATAAATAGGACCGTGTGATCGAAAAAAACGGCGTCAGCGATGGCTATGAAATGAAGATAGCTGTCAATTTATATGTAAATTTAAGGGAAATGTCGATCGTTTTTTCCCAGCCCGGGACGTCGTTTTTTTTTGCGATCACACGATAGTAGTTGTAAATAAAAGCAAAAAGGCAAAAAATATAATCACTTAATTCTAAGCGAATTTCATAAATGATCGGTTTACTATACTATTGTATGTATACGAGTATTATAATTATACAGGGTGTCCCAATAAATAAGTGCAAGTATTTTTAGGGGTGGTATATCTGGCCAAAAGAAACATATTTTCTCTTTACCATTTTTAAAATAAATTGATAACAACCTTTTTCAAATAAATTGAATTTAACATTGAAAATTAAAAAAATATTTTTTAAAACATTTTAAAAGCCGCCGCCAGCAATCGATAGATATCAGTTGCAAATACCAAGCAATTACGTGGATCTCGGCTTCTTCGACGCCCAATGTTAACACACATCGACTATACACCTCGCACTAAAAGAAGTTCTAAAAGGAACTATGTTCAACTGCAAAGACTGGTAGTAAAAAATTTCAAGCTTAAAGTATCACAACCGAATTCATTGAAACCAAAAACTTATAATACAAAACTATAGTGTGAAAACGAATGATAATGTCAGTAAATAAATAAATAAATGTGGCAACTTGGCATTTTTTACAGCAGAGCTACCACCTGAATTCCCAGCGATGGCTATGAAATGAAGATCGCTGTCATTTTATATGTAAATTTATATGGGTATATTATTTATATCGATCGTCATTTCTTAGCCAACTCGACGCCGTTTTTTTCGATCATATGGTATAAATTTTTATTCATTCTTTTTGTTAACATATACTTTTTGTTTATTTCAGGATCAGGCCCCATCCAATTATGGCAATTTCTCTTAGAACTTCTGACAGATAAGTCCTGTCAAGGCTTTATATCCTGGACCGGTAATGAATGGGAGTTCAAGTTAACCGACCCAGATGAGGTAAGAATTTGATTTTTTTAAATACTTAATAATTAAAATAATTCTTATAAACGTGGTCATTAACTATTAGTCACAAATTAAATTATTTTAATTTAAATATGCCTGTGCGGCTATATGTGATACGCTACTGAACAAACGTTTCTAATATTCGCGTATGATTTTGTAGGTTGCGAGGAGATGGGGTATAAGGAAAAATAAGCCCAAAATGAACTACGAGAAGCTTTCTAGAGGGCTCAGGTACTACTACGATAAGAATATCATCCATAAAACAGCGGGGAAACGCTACGTATACAGATTCGTATGCGATTTGCAGACTTTATTGGGGTAAGTTTTTATAATTCTATTTATATGTAATATTCATGATTCTAGAACGTAGTGCTATGTTGAGAAATATATTCATACAGGTGTCCCAGTATTCCGTTAGAAGACATCAAACTTTAAAAAAATAATCACATTTTTTAAGATATTTTAAGAACCGATATTCTGATTTGAATGAGATTTGGGATGCCTATGTTTTGCTAAGCGCTTTAACTTTTGATTTTTACAAAAATCAAGAAAAAATATGAGAAGGGTGGAAACTACCCCACTCATATAAATTTTAGTAGAAATATTTTCCAATTCTACGGACCACTGTTTTTTTTCGTAAAATAGTCCTCCTAGTATTTACCACATTTTTAGTCTCATGTTTTTGAAATAAAAATGGATTTTTTTTTCCAAAGCAGACCTGCAAAATATACAGGGAGTTTCAGTGTTTCGTAGAAAAACTATCTACGTATTTTTTGAATCGAAATAAGTTAATTGGTCACAATTTACCTCTATACAATAGTGCTTTGTTTGTCCGTTAGAGGGCATCAATAAAACCCGTTAATTAATTATTATTAATTAAACGTTACTTAATTTAAAATTTATGAAGCTTATTGTCAAATACCATTTGTGATACTAACAAAATACAATATTTTCGCCAACTAGATTATTAGCTCATAATAGATTTTATGCTTCTACATAGGTTGATGTGATAAGAAACATTTTTTGGAAGTCATATTCCGATTTTTTTTCCTCAAAAAGTATGCGCGGTGGTGTTTTTTTACAAAAGACAAGATATGTAGTGAGTACTTGAAGAACCATTTTACGAAAAAAATCGGTCGTCGGTGGAGTTTGGTTTGGTATATTTATACTAAAATTTATGTAGGGGTGAGGGTAGTTTTCACCCTTACCATATTTTTTTTCTTGATTTTTATGAAAGTCAAATGTTAAAGCGGTTAACAAAATATGGGCACCTAAGATCTCATTCAAATCGGAATAACGGTTTTTTTAATATCTTAAAAAATGTATTTATTTTTTTTTAAGTTTGGTATCCTCTATGCCTCTAACAGACAAACGAAGCATTTTTGTGGGTAAATTGTCACCAATTTACTTATTTTGATTTCAAAAATAATGTTCACCGAATATTGGGACTGTATTTTTATCCGCAATCGTACGATAGTAGCAATTTATCTATTCATATAAAGCCTTTAAAGTTATATTTTATCTACTACTGGGATAAAATAACTTTATTCCATTAACGCAGTGGCGCCATAAGGGAGGGGGGAAGTTATGGGGGCTTAGCCCTCCCAGATAACTGGTGCGAATCGTATAAAATTGGTGTTAACCTCAAATAAATATTTCCTTATGGTGACCCCCAATAAGTCTGTGTTTAGTTGCGCCCCTGCGTTAGCGGAAAGCGGAATACTGAAATTGAAAATAACACTTTTAATTACACTTTTTCGCAATGTTCTCTAGACTTCACAAACAGTAAATGGGTAGTTGCTTCTTGTATTGAACTTTAGCAAAAATTGATGCAAGAATACCATCATCATCTTCTTGCATATTTCCTCATCACCTTCTTCCATGGTTTTGAAAAAACCTTTGCAAATTCTCATGACGCAAGCTTCGAATTTCACTTTTGTCAAGCTCATAACAAAAGACCTGTCTTTAATTCGATTTTTGAAAATAATGCTGCTATTAATTTTTCCTATTAACTTTTTATAATTTAACTAAATATTATGTATTTGTGGATAAAACGTTGTATTACATTCGTTTTTTAGTTGCATTTTATCCACTTAAAAAATCAAAAGTTCGAACTACGTTTTTGCTTGGATAAAATGCTCTCCAAAACACTTATACAAGGTGTTTCAAAAACACGGGCCATCTTTCGTGAAGAGATTCCTCATGTAAAAATAAGACTCGATTCTTATATCAACATAGGTCAGATTCTTGTTTGTTTACTAGTTACAGGGGGTTATCTTCATTTTTTTCGGTTTATTATAATTTTCTTCCAAGTGCTTATAGAGATTCAAATCAAATTTTGAGGATAAAAGTAAGTGTGACATATTTAAATGCGGATAAAAGTATAAGTGTGACATATTTTAATGCTAAAAAAGTGTCAAAAGATTCACCAGGGACGTGTATATGAGGCGAAAAAACTGTATGCTACTGTCACTAACTTTTTTTCTCTTGTTATCACAGTTGTATAGGCCATTTAATGCCGATTAAAACTTGTCTCTTGATATTTTGTCGACTTCAGTCTTCTTCATAAGATAAACACATTTTATTAATTTGCCTTAACCCAATGGTTTAAACCTTTAAAAAAAATGTCATTAATTGAGCAAAGTGTTAAATAAGTACACATGGATTCCCCATAAAAAATATGAAAAAAGTTCCTATAAACATGGGTTCGGAAATGCATATAGTTTCGAAGTTACACGATATTAAAACTTTAAAAAGTACCTAGGTCTTTTGTAATTATTATTATTATTTTTTTTATTTAATTTGCTGTAGCATTCAACATCAGTGTTATAAATTTGAATAAAATTTAATAATAAAATAGATTAGGGGGGTCAGGGGGGCCTAGACCCCACCCACCCTCAGATGATTGATGCGGTTCGTCTAAAATTGGTTTTAACCTCAAATCAATATTCTCTTATAGTGACCTAAAGACTTATAGGCCCCCAAAGACTTATTCAGCCCCCCTAAAAGTCTGTGCCTGACTGTAGGTACTAAACAAAGCAGAATCGGACATATTGTTGATATCAAAAATAAATCTTATTTTTAGGTGAGGAATCTACCCCACGAGAGATGGCACATATATTTGAAACACCCTGTATAATAAATAACTATTCTCGGATATTTCAAATGCAAAATACATGATTGTAGTAGTGACAATATATCAGTCTAAGCCTTAAATAAGTACCGTATGATCGAAAAAGCGTCTAGTTAGCTTGGAAATGAACATCGATGACATTCCCCATAGAATTTTACATATAAAATGACAAGTATTTTAACTGGTTTCACTCTTCGATCCAAGAAATACATTCATGATTTTTTTTGCAAAAATGCTTAAAATTTTATATTTTTTGGCGCTTTTCGGGAAATTTAAAGAAAACCTTTTTAGAGCCGCATGCAGGTTCGTTTCTTGAGGGTGCATGCCTTGCAACGTTGCCACATCCTACGTTATCCACACTATGCATATTTTTGTGTTTATAAGTTAACTAATTAATAAGGTAATTTTAATTTTCTACACAATAAATTTTGAAAATTAGTTTTAAGTATACCGCGTATTTTTCAATAGTGGCGCACCCTTGTAACTTTTTTTAGATTTCAGATAAAAAACAAGAAAAGAAAAAACTAACTGCGATACGTAATTTTGCTTGCCTCTCGTAATAAAAAAATTGATGCAAATATCTTTGATGTTTTTTTTTATTTATTTTTAATATTTTTTTAATGTGTATGTTTTTTCTTATTTCAGGTATACTCCTGAGGAGTTACACGCCATGGTCGACTTTAAGCCAGAGAAAAAAGATGACGACTGAGGATTAGCATCGACAAAAGGAACAATATGACAATAATATTTTTATAAAAAGTACGCAATTTTTCGGTGCCTAAACAAGTAACAGTGCGAAAAATTCAAAACTCGCATTTTGTTCTTACATTCTGTCCATTATTTTTTTTCTGTATATCTCTTTCAAACCAAAATTTATATTTAAATTTATAAGACTTTAATATAGAGTGTATCCAAGAATTTACCAGATATGGGAAAAAGCTTATTTTATCTTGTGAGAAATTTTTAAACTTGATAAACATTTTTACAAACTGGAAACAACTAGTAAAAATTCGTCTTCTTATACCAGTTTCTTATATTCCTCATAAATATAAAATTCACTTAAAAATAATAATGCTGCAATAGTTTTTTTGTCATTTGTCGAAAAATATCACTATGTTAAGATAACAAACAATTTAAATATGAAAACAACATTATAGAATTAACTTTTTATTAAATTTTCATATTTTGAGAATTTATTTAATTTGCAATTTATTCAGATACAGAGTAACCTTTATCAATAATAACAAATCTTGGAAAAACTTAAAATAAGTATATTTTTCCCATATATGGGACTAAACTTCCTGAACACTATAGATATAATAAAGGATGTCTCAAAACATGTGATGTTTTACCAAAAAAATGTATTGTTTATAATATATATTTAAAAATAAATTGATAAGTTTTTAAAGCAACATTACCTGTGTGACAAATTTGTTTCAACATTATACCCATCTGGTCATCGAAACTGGGTGGTCTGGATTTTAACGTGTAAAATAGTGATGTGACAGCTTAATGGGCAATCAAATGTATTAAAAAGAGATAAAAGTTGGTTCATTTCTTCTAAACCGCACAAGTTGGCGTTTACGAAAAAAGTTGCATCTAGGGTTGGAACTTTATTTTTCACAATTAGTTACTCATTTTACTACAGCTGTAATCGATTATATTTAGCTTAGATACTTATGTTATCTTCATATCAGTAGTATGCAATGAAAGTTTTTAATATAGTTTATTTTTTTTCCACGCACGTAAAAACCGGCAACACTGTATGTCGTGTATGTGTATTTTTATTTTGCTTCTCTGGCTGTCAACCGATCGTTTATATTTATCTCTGTCGCATACATTAAAATATAGACTACGCAGAAGAAGTGACCAGGATGGTATATTGTATAATAGAAAAGTTTCTTAAATAGAATAAAAATATAAAAATTAAAAATAGAATCTATTTAAAAATCCACTTAATTAGTAATATGAACGATATGAAGTGCTACGCTCCATATACAGGGTGTTTCAAAACAAATGCGAAAAACTTTAGGGGTGATTCCTTGTTCAAAATAAAGGGTAGTTTGCTTCATAAACGTTGGGTCAAAAGTCAACCATTAGGGAGATATCGCGGTACAAAGATGGCGGAAAAATAATGTTTTTATTTTTTATCTTAAAAACGAAAAGAGATAGACTAATGAAATTTTATGGAAGCATTACTGTTATAAAAACACACTTTCAGGTAATTTTTTTACTTTTTTAAAATGAGTGGAAGGGGTTGAAATAAACTACCCCTATCATTCTTGTTAACGAAATTTAAAGAAAAATCTTATCAAACACATGCAAATGCTTTAATTTGGATAGTTTAGTTTGTTTAGAACCTTTTTTACCTCTTGTGTTTTTTGATAAAACTCACCGATTGGAAATTAAAAAATAAAATGTAAAGCATTACATGTCAGGACAAAAAACATTTTTAGATTAAGAATCTAGTGATAATACGATAATAATAATCATCTAGATAATAACGTATTGCAGTAGAGTAATGTCAAATAAAATAATATTAGGAACATCCTAAAAAGTAACAGCGGCCGACTAGATTTTTTCCTAAAAAAATTACAGCAGCCCACTAGATTCTTTATCAGAAAATTTTTTTTGTCCTGACATGTAATGCTTTACATTTTATTTTTTAATTTCAAATCGGTGAGTTTTATCAAAAAAATACCAGAGATAAAAAAGTTTCTAAACAAACTAAACTATCCAAATTAATTTTTTTGCATGTGATTGATAAGATGTTTCTTTAAATTTTGTTAACAAGAATGATAGGGGTAGTTTATTTCAACCCCTTCCGCTCATTTTAAAAAAGTAAAAAAATTACCAGAAAGTGTGTTTTCATAACAGTAATGCTTCCATAAAATTTTATTAGTCTATCTCTTTTCGTTTTCAAGATAAAAAATAAAAACATTATTTTTCCGCCATCTTTTTACCGCAATATCTCCCTAATGGTTGACTTTTGACCCAACGTTTATGAAGCAAACTACCGTTTATTTTGAACAAGGAATCACCCCCTGAAGTTTTTCGCATTTGTTTTGAAACACCCTGTATATAAAAACAATTTATTGTATTCTGGTTAAATTCGGCGTTGCCGTTATGTGCTAAATTTCCGAATTTAACAGAATATCTACGACTCCACTATTTAAAAAAAACACTATTTTTCAAATAAGAACATATGTCTATTTCAATTAAGAAAGGAAATTTATATTTTTTTACAATCTTTACACTAAATATATCAATCCTGCTACTGTATACAAAGTGTTACTACATTATTTGTAAATTAGTCAACGTTGATTATTGAGAAGATTTTATCTGTAGAATTGACAACATTGTTTTCTGCGAAGTTGTCAGTTATAATGATTTGTCACTTATTATGTTACATCATAGATAAATGCAACAAGTTTAGATTGGAATCGCGAAATTATTTTGGGTCGCGACCGTTATACGCGATCTGGCGCTGCTATAGCGGTCGCTAAGAACAACGGCAAACAAAAACAGAAATAATTTTTCTCTTGTCAAAGTCAGAATCTTCAAAAATCATAATAATCTTTCAAAATCTAAACCGCTCTCATTAAAGAAATTCCGAAAAGTGTTTATAGCGTCCATTTTCAAAGTAATTATTGCTATCTTGTGAGTTTAATTCAAGTTTTATTTACTCCAACCGGTGATAATTGTGAAAAAGTGGCATTAAAAACTTAAAAAGCTGTGCTGTGAACTGTGAACTGCAAAAACCATCGTGGATCGTGGCATAACGTCGGTTTCCGATGTTTCATAGGTATTTCATACATGCGTCCATATATAAAATAAAGTTTCTTGTATGCAACACACTGTATTTTATTTATAAAATTAAACGAAAATAATAGTAAATTTGAATAAACAATATTTGGCGATATAATTCCGGAAAAAGCCGAACCGCTCCGAAATTTTCAAAAGTTTTGGGTCGCGACCTTTGCAAGAATAGCGCCAAATAGTGTTTACATTGTCCTTATGGGCACTTTCCAATCTAAACTTGTTTCATTTATCTATGTGTTACATATTTTTCGCTGTGTCATTAACAAAGTCTTCCTTGTGTTTGTTTCAAAATATATTACAAAAGAGTGTGTCTGTATGAATAATATCTATTCCAAATTTTAGGCATAAAGTGATTAACATTATATTAATTTCCCAAAATGTTAATTATCTAACAGAAAGCAATATTATTTTATATTTTTATAGTTTTTCGATTATCTGAATGTTAAAGAACATGCTAATTTTTTTCTTGATTTTTATAACTTAGGTAATGTTTGCTAGATTCAATGGAAAGAACAAAATTAAAATAGTATAAGACTGTGACGTCAATGCTTCTTGTATTTGCAAACAATGCTCAAAAAGTTTACTACGTTTTTGAAATTCTCTTTTTTAATAAGAAAACCAAAGTTACTTTTATAGAAATTTTTACAGATTGTAAAGTATATAATATTATTGTAGTAATTACTGTTTTAACTTTTACTAAAAAATTATATTTGTTGTTATCAAATATCCTATCAAAAATCTTGATGCGTTAAAATACCGTAAGATCGAATGAAAGAGGGCGTTAGAATCGGTGTAGAAACTGCATTTCATTTCAAATCTTATTGTGCCTAATATCTGTTATTAAAGACGTCTTTTTCATACAATAATACGGTATTTCACTAATGATCAAAGAATAATTGTACCTACAAAAAAATATGTATTGCTAAATAAAATGGAATTTTGATTTCATCTTGACTCTGTTGTGGTTGTCAATCATTCAAGATTTTCTATGTGCTGGCTTAACGATTATCAACAAAAAGATAGTAAAGTTGAAATGAAAATATCATTTTCTGTTGGCGTATCATATCAAGATCGTGCAAAACTTCAGACTAATAACTTTTGTACATCAGAATAGCAAAATCAAAATAATGTTTTTAAGCTTAAGAATTTCTGTAAATATAATTGTTAAATGTGATAAGCTTATTGAAAAACAAAAATCAGTTGAAAATAATGTTTATATTTGAAGAAATATATTGGAATTTTATGGGGGTAATGGGTTGACCCCATCAATAAGTATTTTTATATTGGATAGCTTTCCTGTTACATAAGGTTATTTATAATTTTTTTAACTTTTTTTATTAGTGTGACCTGCTGTTCGACCCCAAAAATTCAACAGATTTATTTTGATATTTAAATATTTAACAAATAAATAATAATTAATAATATTTTTATTAAGTTCCCAATAAATATTTTGATCTCTTGAATTTTTTAGAGTTGTTATTGTGAGCTTACAGGTCATTTTTTATAATTTCGTGGTCTCAAAATAGGTCTTAAAATAAGTTATTTTCGAACACGTGTAAAGAATAATAGCAATACGTCTCGTTATATGGGACACTCGATTGCTATAATTTTCTATCGTGTTATTCCTATAATTATATGAACTATTGTATTAAAAAAAAGTGTTTCAATAAAATACTTATAATAGATGCTGCATTTTCTTTCTTTAATTTCCTCGAAATATAACGAACTTTTTGAATAATATAAATTTTTATACAGGGTGAGTCAACAATAGAATAAAATAGAAAACAAATTTCTTGCAGTATAGATATACAGGTTGTTAATTTGTTCATTACTCGCGGCCAGAGCTTAATGGTTGAAATATGGCAACCTCGGCCCGCTCGTCGATAGACGACGCAAAGTCGGCAGAAAAATCAATAATGCATGCGTTCTCAATAGGCAATGTTGCCATTCTGTTGCCCTATAAGTAATTGTCGAGTTAACAACCTGTATAATAAAATTATATAAGGATTCTTGCCACTTAACTGCTGATATAGAAATTTAATTCTACGCTGTGTTTGCCATAATGTGGATCAACCTGCTCTCACTACCGGTTTCGGAGCCCTACTCCATCATCAGGTGAGCTTGGGCAGATACACAAAATGACAACCACAGCGCAGAGATAGTTAATTCCGACTTGTCGGAAAGTGCCGGTTAGATATTAAGTCCCGAACGGGAGTCCCGCAGGATGGTAAAAGGCTTTTTTTCAGGCAAGCCAAATTATAAAATAGAAAACAAATTTCTTGCAGTATAGGTATACCGTGCTGGCAACTGTTACTCTTGGGTCGGTATTTACATGTGTGGAAGTAAATCGCATAGGGATCTTATTAAGTCGGAGTGAGACAAATGCGACGGAGTGCTGTTGCGGCGTTGCCGGTATGCCTTTCCCTATCAAGTAAAGTAAAATCACGATCGCAAACCTCTTATTTTTAAAAGACTTTTTTTCGAGAAGGCAACTAGATAATATCATTAGAAATGTTTCTGAGCATCTGAAATGGAATTATAAGGATATCTTTAAGGTGTCATTCTTTTATAACGAGAAAACATCAGTAATCGCGATAATTTAAAAACTCAACTTTTTAACACATAACACGCCATAACTCAAGAAACACTTTAGATATTGAAACTTTTTTTTATTTTGAGGATCTTTTACAATATGTTTACATAAGAAAAATTCGATAAGGTTGTTTTTTTTTTCATTCAAAAATTGTAAACAACCCATCTATTTACTTTTAGAGCATAGCAATTTTCAGCAGTCGTGTATTTTTTTTATTGATAAAGATTTTCACTTACTGTCTACGAAGAAAATACGGCAGAAAAATTAAGAAAGTTTTTGAAAAAACTACAATCAATTATTTCTAATAGATTTCGAGATATCGATTTTTGAATTCAGAGTTCTAATAGCCCAACTACTGTCGAAAACCAACTCAATTCCACTTATTTTTACCAAAAATGCAAGTGTTTCTAGCTTGCACTTAATTTTTTTCAAGCTATAGAGAATATTACAACGACTCGTTAATAAATAAACAAATACAGTATCACGAGACGTAATTAAATCGTGAAGCTGAACGCATAATGTACACCTTTCCCTAGAACTTTAAGTACTGACAGAGGTACTGATTGGGTCGACCGGTCAAATGCGACAAATCTGCTATATTATCCTTTCCACGTCTCTTAGCAATGTGTCCAGTATCTCGGTTTATTTCATACGTTTG